GCGAAAAAAAAGCGACAAAAAAAGTGAAAAAAACAGCGACAAATACGCACAGCTAGATTTTTTTGCTTTTTTGTTTGCTTTGCCTTTTGCTTTTTTTGCTTTGCTTTTGCTTTATAAAACTATTTTGGATCCTTGTATCTATGGCTGGCGTGCCCGACATAAGATAATTGGCTACTGACTGTTACAGGTAATGGGACAAACCAAGCACATAAATATAAATTTACAACATGCCCTGCTTGCTAATGCAGGGCCCAACTGCATCATCAAAGAGTAAATGCTTGCTCCTGATTTGTGCCCTGGTGATTCCTCATGGCACTTACCGAGCTTCAAACACCGCTCAGAACCCATGGCTGCTTGTAGTGACAAAGCTGTGCTGTTCACAACCGGAGGGTTAATTTGTCGATTCTTTTGGGCATGCAGTTTGTATCCTGAATCTTAATTCGGCTAGAATTGCTTTAGTTCAAACAACAGCAAGCGACAGCAAAGTCAACATCTGCCACCATCCATCTCAAATATGATGGGCTTTTGCTCTTCCAATGCCAAAGGCCGAGAGCTACTCCATACCTGAAGCTTCATTTAGTAGGGGTGCTCAGCCAGGAGATCCAACAGTATAGGGCATTCCAGCCAAGAGACCCAAAGAACGGGTACGGTGCTCGTCGTAAGAACAGGGATTTGCGGCTCCCAGGAACCTGCCCCAGGTACGTGGATTTAACAATAGGGAAAATTAGAGATCACCTAATCCGCAAAACCATGTATTTTTCGCATTTGAGTCCCACAAGTTAGAAAGTCACAACCATATCATATTTGTATCAAAAACACGCCCAAGGCGTTATCACATCCCAGGCGTTGTGAAAAATACAGTGCCAAGTACCAAACTTTGGCCTTAAGAGAGTTTTATCAATAAGTATTAATAATTGTTATAAACAACTCTCCTCAACTCCGTTTGCGAGATTAAATACAGTAACTATACGCCCCAAAAGCCTTGACCTTGCCGTAATTCCTTGGACTTGTCAGACCCCTAGCATGAGGCCACACGCCTGCCCCCTGTCAAGCAGGCTTTGTAGTACCCTCTTACCTAGTGCTGCGATGGCCTATCAGATTCGACTTCCTCCTCCAAGCCTTTAAATCCAGGCAGCTGTTGAGGATCTGAGGGCCTTCCAGCAGCAGTAGCACACCCAGTGGTGCAGCAAAGCAAATGCATGACAAAGCTTGCAGCAAGAGTCGGTTCATTGGATGGCGGAAACAAGTGAAGTCCACAAACGTGAAAATGTGTTTTTCACCCTGGGCTCTAGACTTGCAAGACCAACAAGCAAGTGCTTCGTAGTGGTAGCGTGTTGACTCTCCACCAGTTGACTCTCGGCCAGTGGCGATGGTTGCTTTGCTCTTTCGATGTCTGGAAGAGTCTCTTCTGCTCATCAGTTTCCCTGACAAAAAGACGTGCCGAGAATCCCAACGACAACTTTTTGAGGATCCTGAAAGATATCCATACAAAGCCCAAAATAGAATCAAAAAAGGATAAAAAAGGTAGATCCCCACTAAGAATGTATTGGAAGCCGTTTCTATCTATATTGGGACCACTATCAATGATATCAAAACATCGGAACTTCACCTTCCAGCTTTTCGTGGCGCTGTTGCTCTAAGCCAAACGGCTTGGAATCGGGTTGCGCGTGCCAGGCGAGCGGCTCAGGCTGCGGATGAACTCCGTATGGACCCCTAAGCTGACAACCGCCAATTGGCCGGAGTAAAGCACTTCCCCTCCAAAATGGATGTGTTTTACCCCCCCCATGTTGCACTGTTTTGCATGAGGAAGACGGTGCGACTACTAGTGCCATGCTACTGACGTTGGAGACGGCAAAGAAGTCATACATGAAGCATTTGGATGCAGGGAAGAGGAAATCTGGACTCCCAAGCCCTCAAACCATCATGGACGACTGAGAGCATCACTCCATCGTCCATCCCCCCCCCCTCTCCGCACGGATGGAAGTTCTCAGATGTCCTCGAAGTTCTCGGTCTTTGGCTTCCCATTGGATTCATCGATGATGTTCAAAAGCTGTTGTTCCAGCTCCAAGGTTTGTTTCCTCGAAAGGGCTCAAGGTGCCATGCAGAATGCTTCGATGCTTTTGGATGAAAGAATCTCCGCTTTTGTGCGGCTCGTGCGGATTGGAAATCCATGGGTGCGGGGAGGTTTCATCAACGAGCCTTTGACACCCTACTACAGTTCCGAGCACATCCTCAGAAGGATCAGAAGGTAGGGATTAACCTTGCTGGCACCCATCCCAAAGACCTCCTCAGGAGGTAGGCCAGGAGCCCCAGGCACAAATCTCTTCCATTTTCAGGTCGTCCAATCCAAGAATCTTCTCCAGCTCTTTCTTCCTCACTGGCTCCATCTCCTTCTCCTCACTGGTGCCCCCGTGCTGCACATGTTTGTGCTCGCTTGGTGGAAGAAAAAACTCTTCAAACCACAAATAGATTTAGCAAATATTAGCAGTCACCACTATCATTCAATGGAAAGACCCCTCCGTTGGAAGTACTTTGGGATGATCTTAGAGCGCGACTCGCGCTTCGTAAAGCATCTTGCCCTTGGAGAGCTTCTCAAAGGCCTCGGTGTTTTGAGCATCATGTGAAGAAGTCAAAACAAACAATTCCAGACCTTCCGTGTATAGAATATTATATATACCCAAGCACTCCATGTATGCCATATATGCCAACATTGGGGTGGTTTTGGGAGTCAATGTAGGCATATATGGCATACATGGAGTGTTTGGGATATATATTACATCATATACCTACCTTGACCCCTGAAATCAACCACCCCAACTGATCAGGAGTCAAAGGCCAGTCATGGTCAATGGTCTGACAACATGCTCTCACATTCTCGACCTCGACCCTCTGGCCTTACAGAACGAAATAGAGCCACATCTGGAGATTCTTGATGCTTTTTCTGGATCTAGATGAGTGCATTGACTATTAAACATGCACTATGCGTTTGTTCTTCTCAAAGGCACCACGGCTCCAGCGAGCCGTGTAGAATCCCTGAAACCCTCGTGGTTTCCACCAGTGAAACCGTCCACCCAGCCATCGGGTCGGCCCTAAAAACCCCAAAGAAAACGCCTGGGCCTGGTGTCCAAATGCGTTACGTATGCACCCAAATGGACAAAAACCCCACCTGAAGGTCATACTTCCGAAGGCTTTGCCTAAAGATTTTAAGGGCCTAAATGTGGTGAAGAACTGCCAGCATTAACAATCCTTCTACTTGTTAAAGTAAGAATGGAAACTTGGAACATGTTTGTTCAACCTGACACTGGCTCACATCCCAGGAAATTCCATGTCATATTCACCTACTGGTCACTCCCTGAACCATCTGGCAGGACTACTCAGACCACCCCAGCACAATCAAAACGGCTTTAAGGAGTCCTCCCAGGAGTCCAGCTCCCTAACACGCAGCTCAAGGATATATAATTATATATTCCCTAGGGCTCCTGGCCTACCTCCGTTTCGAAAATGAGACTGGGGTGGGTGCCAGGGGGGGTCTAACGGTCTAACCACTTTCTGAGGATATGGGGCTGGAGCCCTAGGGATTTCTTAGACATGTAGCTCCCTGGATGAACTGAAAGCCACTGCGCCGCACTTTTTGTTCGCAAGTTCGTCATAGCACTTGAAACTTCCAGGTGATTTGGGGGGCGGAAGACTGCATTGTTGCGAGTTCACCAGTGGTTCATTCTCTCTATATGATTCTCTGAGGCCCCAAATGTTACTAAGGGCACAGGAAACAAATACGTACAAATCGTAAACTCCCAGTATATCCCTGGAATATGCTGCTGCAAATAGTTCGAAAGAGATCATTCCAAATGGGTACTAAGTCGCCACACCTCATCCTCTTAAGCCTATCGGAAGAACAGGCTTGCCCTTCAATATATGCCTGAGGCCTGGCGACAAATGGAGCCAACACAAATCACTCCTCATCCTGGCTTGAGGAAAACAAATGAAGCCAACACAGATGGTGTCATAGCTCCTGAATGGAGGGGCAATCTCTATCGGAAGGTGGGTACTGGTGCAGAATTTCCTACCAAAGAATTGCGGGGAAACATGCATTCCTTAAAGTAGCTAAAAAGGCATGAAGCAACAGGCTATCGGCTACCCACAAAAATAACATGTCGCACAAACCAATGTCCAGCTTTTTGTCACAAAAATCCTCACCCGACACCATTGGAGCTTGGGCTTTAAATGCCACAGGATACCACAGGCCTTGATCATTGCTCGCCCCCACGACTAACACCAAATCGAGCGTCGTCCTACCTTCGCTGTGCATCACTGGCCATGGACTCTGAGACTCTGAGTCACCAGCTGTCGAATCATCAGCTGTCGGTAGGTGGACTGGCGATGTATCCCCTATCTGCACCCTTCTCCTCGCAGCCTGCCCTCCAATGCCTGTCTCGATTTGCTAGACGCATCTAGACGCTTGCGAATTGAGCTTGCTAAAAGAAAAACATAAAGACGTATATATATATATAGTCATACCCTATTGAATGGCAATTCTTGTGTATCAAGTTGCAGTGCTAGGTTGAATCACATGTCTTAGCCTAGAATTGCAGTGGTCAAGCCAAAGTTGCCAAACAACTATGGAGAAAAAACAGTTGAATTGAAATAATGTTTTCCGGGAAATGCATTTAAACTCTTCCTCCCAAATTTCATTTCGATTTCTTCCATTGCAAAAACAAACAACACTTATGTAACAGTCTTTGGAGATCTTGGGTTTGGAAAAAAACCTTCACGGGGCACCAATAATCGCACCAATCGTGTCAATTCAACCATTCCATTTCACACAGGAAGGCAACACTTGCACATCCCCAAATGAATTTAATCCTCAAAACAGTTGCATACAGTTGCAAGATGTTGCAAGTTTAAACTCTAGACATGAGGGGCCATGACGCTGCACCGCTCGATGCAAACGTACTGGTTTGTGTGATGAATTAAATTCTCAAACCAGCTGTCAAACATGAGAACCCACAGCACAATTCTTTAGTACCAAGTCCATGGAGTCCATAGCCAGAGCTCCTCAAAGGACCACGACACCTCAGTTCTCCTCGACACCCTTCTCCAAGAGACTTACACTCTGCACCCAGCCATCCTCGCCCTTGCTCGCCACCAGAACAAAGTAGTGCCCTTGCACCCGTGCCACGGTGTGGGTACCAAAAAAACAGCATTTGGTGCTGGTGTGCACCCTGTTGGGTGCACATGTCTGCACGTTCTGGGTGAAAACCAACCTGTTTCAAAGCTGTTTCGATGGCCTTCTTCCAAACTCGAACGACCACTCTGGTGTGCGGGAGCGGTGGGTGGCGTCCGCACCGTCCGCGCCGTCCGCGCTTTCCTCTTCCGTTTCCTTTCCAGGTAGTCGATTCCCCGACCGAGTAGCTCTGAATAAAAAAAAGGGAACAAACAGGTCCAGAGTCTCTGGAGTGGTGAAATGAAGAAACAATAAAAACAGAAACAGATCTAAACCTCGTATTGTTTTATTTGTTAGACACGACCCGTCTGGGACTGCGGACTGCCGGGTCGTGTAGAAAGGCCCCGGACTTCCGAAGACCTCACTGACGCCCCAGTCAAGGGCGTGCAAAAAGGGCTTCAAGTCAAGTAGGTCGTTGCCTTTGAAAGAACTGCTTGGAGGAGCAGCTGCCAGTCTGGTAATGGAAGTCTTTCTTCCTACTTGTTGAACCTGTCGAAATCTCCTGGATAGCCTGAGGATGCCTGAGGATGCTCCGACGAGGTGTAGGTGGCACCACTTGGGCATCCAAACCCTTTCTGGGACCACCCTGCCCGTTCCCGTTCCACCAGGCCTTGAATAAGGTGCCACTCTTCGAATTCATCCATGAGCTCCAGCTTTTGAATACGTTCCTCGGCTTGGCCCATACGGCTACTACACAGAAAGGCAGTATGGTGTGCTCCAACTGTCCCGTACCCTGAATCCTGTGCCCCTTGAATACTGACTGGTACGCAAAGAAACGAACCAGCTAAATACAGGGGTATGTTCAGTCGGATTCATCCATCTGGATGAGCTGGCAGGCTATAACCAAGCATTGCATGGACCATTCACTCCTTCAAGCTGATGGCAACATGGTGAATTCTCGTACTATAACCAGTGGTCAAATCCACGGTCGCCTGCAAACCTCTGTTCCCATCAAGAGTTGCACACAGTGGAACACCCACTAGGTCGTACAGCCCTGTCCTAGCCCCGCAGCTGTGGGTCATGGTGCAACTGAGTTTCCACTTCGGACTGATCCAAGTGCCGACTGTAGATCTCGTTCATATCCGCCACCTCGTCACCAGAAGTGAGCTGGGCCGGAAAGGACGATCGGACGAAAAACTCATCATTGGTGACCTTTAACTAGTGATAATTGGTCGTTAGACCATCTGGACCCATCAGCAACTCTGACATGTCATATTTCAGTCCCCACCATGGTCCACCAATGCGGCCGATCGGCATCTGAGACTGGATGTCGACTTGAAAAAAACGGTCTGCCAAGGTGCTGAGCATTTGCTCCATCCTCTTTCCAGGAACCGTGTCTTCTGAGCCTCCATGGACGGGTAATCGAAGACCGACAGCAAGGGGCATCCGCGCTCCGCCAAGTTCTTCACCTCATGAGTCTGCCACATCAAGTTCACAGGGAGCCGCCAGCACAAAGCATGGCACCCAGGGCTGACCAGAATCATGTGAAGGTGCTCAGTCACTTTGGGAGTGACCCATTGGTACTCTCTTAATTCTTGGAACAAGTTACTAAGAAACACAACCAACCACCAGAGGTCCACTCTCCCCACTAGATCGCGGAGAACGCACCTCATACCCCAAGACTGGGTTTCTGCCTTGCATCTTAGAATGAGCTGGGAGGAATGATGTATCCTCGGCAGCTGGGTCCGGTCTGAACGCTCCTTCTGCACTCCCTGCTGCACTCCTTCTGCTACAAGAACATGTGATGAAACTGGGAGAATCATCCATCGATCCACAAACTGGGCCTTTTCCAAAAGGACACAAAAAGGGAGGCCTTTCCTTACCCGCATGGACATCATGTGTGTAGCAAATTGGAGCATCTGCTGCCAACAACTCTTCAATTTGGTCATGTAAATTTACAAATATTACATTATTACATGGTCAAAAAAATATATTCCAAAAGGGGGGCGTAAGCTGCCGTAAATTGTTCACCCCCACTACTTGAAAAACATAGTGCATCTGTTGATGTTCCCAACGCAATCCTTCACCCTCGACTCCATCATGAAAAGTAAAACAATCGTCACCAATCCACCACCTGATGGATCCTCTTGATTCCAATCATTTGATCGGCTGCTAATCATGGGGGCCTGACACTATCTCTGACCAACCGGGCTATGCTGGGCTTCCGAAGATGAAAAACAACCACTCCCAGACACTCCCTACATTGACACATGTATGCCATATATGCCATACACTCCCAGACACTCCATGGGACTGCCATATATGCCTACATTGACATCTGGGACTCAGATGGGCGGCCTTCGATCTTCGACTTTTGAGGGTTTTCCGGTGGTTGAATCGTCCACTTCGGGTGGTCCGTCCGCAGACTGAGGGTCTGACCCACACCCTGCCGTCATACATGGAAACACTGGTTGGAACCAATGGGAAAAAGAACACATTTAAACACAAAACCACATTGTTCCATAACAACATGGAACAAACACATAAACCTTTTTGGAACCACCCGGAGAAAAACACAACGAACAAACAACAACGTCCGTTGTTCCGAACCACAAAAGTCCACGACCGTCGTTGGTCGACGGCTGCCCCAAGGAGCCATGACCTTTCCAAAGCGATCATGCGGATTCCTCGGACGGCACTGCGGAGGGAAGAGATGCCCGGTGAGTCAGCCCGGTTTGGCTCGGTGAATCGCTCTGCCCTTCTGGCCCAAAGGGTATAGACGATATTACTCTCTCAAAGCTCTGGTGGCAAGAGACCTCACCAGCATGCAACAACTGTGATGTGAACCATCACTTGGGAGATCTAAGAGTTGGAGGAATCGGTTTCGACAACTGCTCCCAAGGCATCACCAGCCCAACAGAAAGACAGCACAAGGGGGGGAAGGTCCCACAGTCCAGCCTCATGGCTCCAAGGTGCGTTTGCTCATAAATGACCATAGCAGAGGGTGCTGTTGTTGCTTTGGCGGCCCAATCGATGATGCCGTCGCCGTGCATGGATTGCATGTAGACCTCAGTCAAGCTTAGATGCACAAACACACACACACACACTCTTTTCGTACATTTCCTGAAAAGCTGGAGGTCTGTTGGAGCTGGGGGTTGGGCCCATATCGAATTCAACAAATTGATTACCAACAAACTATACATACTGCTTGAGAGTCTTCGCAACACTTCAAACGAAATGGACTTAGCTCGTGCCACAGCTATCCCAGGTCGCTTCTTTCCCGCGAATTGCTTGCCTTGTGTTGAAGTGTTTGCTTCGACTGATAAGTCCAAATCTTAATAACCAGGAAAGCGCCCTTGGAGCTTTGGGGGTTCTCCAACCGGGGTTCATGAAGAGAATATACAGCCTTTACCAGGCCCCCCTAAGGGGTGGTTAATGGATACCCCTTAACCTCTATAGAGCTATAATTAGACACCCCTTAGGGGGGGCCCTGGTAAGGGTATCCTTGATCCCACCCCCCCGAGAGATTGATAAAAATAACAACTCGAATCTTGGAACTCCTGATCTTTGTGGTTTTTGCATCCCTTTTTCTTCGACTTGATCAAGCTTGCCCCCTTTTCCCTGGATCTTCTTTGTCCAAATCCTCTTCCGAATGCCATCCACCCACCGAAACCCGACAAAACATGAAAAAAGAACACAACAGCAAAGCCCAGCATGTCGCTCTTCCAAGAGGCCAGCACACACTCCGCGATGAACAGGGTCGGCACATCCGGACGGAAACCCACCTGTGCATGGATAGCCGGGTCTACCGTTGACCCCGGCCCGTGCGAACTCCCTTCCCCGGCACAGCCGTCAGGAGGCCAGCTGACGCAGTGGGCAAAGGAAGAATCTATGCATCAAGATGTATCCACAAACATGTTAGTGGAGGGATCGGCAAAGTGTTTTTAGTCTGTGCGAATAAACCCCTTTCTACTGTTGTCGGTCTACGGAGCTGTATTGGGGGTTTGGTTTGATTAAACCCTTTTTGGTCGAACTATCCATGCTGTGTTGGCGGCAGCACAAGCTCTGCGGGCTCAGAAGTTCTGTCCGGTGGTGGGTGTGGTTCGCTGTACTTCGTGATTGCACCACTGGAGATTGCACCACTTGGAGGTTCCAACAGGGCCCCTTGGAGATTGCACCACTTAGTGCCCCCTTGAAGTTTAAGATGTTTTGAACTGGGTCTACTGCAGCCCTCCTTTGCAATACCCGGAGTTTCAGTGCGTACCTCAGGAAATGGGTCATGCATTCTAGGGAACTTGAGGGAACCGGGTCCAAATACATGCACTTCTTGCAGGTACCCCAAGAAACACACGCTTAGTAGTAGTCCGTGATGCGCGCTTAGTAACCCGCGCCGAGCCACGTCCATGGCTTGCTGGAGCTCCGAAGTAATGCGCATGTCTGCCTGGGGCGTAGAGGCAGTCGTTGGACACCGAAGTGGAGGCTGAAATCCACCGGGAGGAGCAGGTGAAACCCACGCCCATACCGAGGTTCAGTAGATGTGACCGGCCCAATGGCCTCCCCGGATTTATGTGATTGATTTTCCCAGAGGTCGAACTGGGGGGTCTCCCTATATAAATACACAGCTCATATTATACCTAGACCCCATTTGACCTCTGTTTTGATAGGAAAAGACTACAGCATGTTTTGGCTCCAAAACAGGGGTCAATCAGGTTCTAGGTATATATAATATATATATATATATATGATATGTGTGTATGCAGTGGTAAGCAGGTTCCTTCAGGCTTTGGTGAGTCTCCATCGTTCACCCATCGCTCCCCGACCTCCCGCGCCTGGACCATGCGGCAGTGCTTCGTGCGGATTTCTCGCAGGCCGGTGGAGCTACGGGTCGTGAGCTCCTGGCATGTTCGCAACTGGCGAATCTTGGATTTGATTAAGGAACCGGGAAAAAACAACACAAATTCCCCCAAACCATCAAAAACTCCTGACCCCTTCTGCTGTAATATGGTCTCATTAATTATTCCATCCAACCCATCAAATGTCATCATCACTGGCACGTACCCTGTCTCCAAGCAGGAGAGCAAGTTGTTAGGGCCTATAGATTTCGTTGGCTCAGCTGGTGCGGACAATCCCAAGAATCAGCTCTCCCCCAAAACTGGTGACCTTGAAAGGAAGAAACGCATCACTGAACCAAATCATGCAGTGCATTCCTTGATATTTTCTAGCTGGTTTGGGTGGTGTCAACTCACTTGAGTAGTCGTCAGTGGGATCCATCTCAAAGAAAAGGTAGACCATCAACATCTGAAATCACCGAGTAAAGGACATGATAGAGTTTCGCTGTTTAGGTCGGCGGATCCCGGTGGTTTTTGGACGCCTCAAAAAGAGGCTATTTATGGACACCCCGAATGGAGGGTCCTGGTAGAATAATCATGGAAGTGGAAACCTCCTCGTTGTATAGTGGTCCCCAAAACGGTTTCCGATACATTCTTAGTGGGGATCTACTTTTCTATCTATTTGAGTGGAACATGGTCTTCCAAGGGGCCATATTTCACTTCCATTGGTGAGTCCAGGGAGTGTCCCAGTATATTCCCACCCGGCCCCAGCGGTCCCGCCTCCATAGAGGTGACGTCCAACATAGGCCACAGGTTTTGCCGACGGCCTGGAATGACTGAATCCTGTGCTGGTTAAAATGTAGACAAAAACTGAAGATCCAACGGGAAGTTGGCTTTGCAAGCATTGCAATACAACTCCCCAAGCAGTACCCCAACTGGGAATCGCCCCAGGAAATGCCGAGCCCATGAACACTGCCAGGAAATCACCAAGTAGTCCCTGCATACCTTCAAACTACGTAGACTGCTGGGTCACTCGTGGATGACCTCCCCAAGAAGTTTGCATCCCAAGTCTCCAAATTCCACCCATCTGTCTGAATCTGTCTCATCTCTAATGATTCTATCCACGACTCCATCACCCAAAACTCCCAGCAGAATCCAATCCCAGAACTGCAGGACATGGGCTGAGTTGGTGAACGGGATGTGGGCTGAGTTGGCACCGGGGGCACAGCACCTTTGGGCCCGGGAGGATTCGGGGCGGTGAGAACCCTCGTGTTCGGCCATCGTTTTTCACCATATCACACGGCGACCTCGGCATCCCTACAGGCTAAAGAAAAGAATATATAACAACTTTTGAGGGAGTTGGTCATGCAAGAACACTGCTCAATGGGGTTTTCAGGACCAGGTTTTACTGGGTCAGACTGGGCTTGTAGGATCTACAAGCAGTTCTCATGGTCCAAGATCCAGCGATCTACTCAGGCTTTGGCTTCTCTTTCTTCCTCTGCCCAGCTGCTAATGGCGCTGATCTTCTTGCTGAGCACTTCGGGGAAGTCCACCTTTTTGACCCCAAAGCTGGACGTCCGCAGGGGTGAGCTGGACGACATGGTTCTGGTAGATAAAAGTCACCCATCTGTATAGCTGCAAGATCCTGCACACCTCCAACAATCTGGCTGCTATTTTTTGATTTGTGGTGTTTTACGGTGTTTTCAATTGTTTTGAGAATTTGTTAATCACTGAAACATCTGGAACAGTCTTGATGGAGGTTCCTTTCTCAGCTGTGCTTGCCGCCCCAGTGATAGCCGCAAGTCCAAAGGCGCTGAGGGTCTATGGAAGTGCAAGGTGCATAGCGGGGCTAGGCCAGGGATTGCTGATGGGGAAAGAACAAAATCACCGAGCACGGAGCAGATCCTCCAAGCAAACCAACAAACATCAAGGTGACAAATCCTCCTACAAACAACTCTTCCGCGCACAAGACTACTCCCTTTGAGTCAGGTGACTGCCGAAGGTGCTTCAAATCAAATTTCACTTGCATATCTTGCATCCCTGCTTCACCCACCCACCCATGCGCCCACCTCTTGGCCTCCACCCACCCACTCACCCAACCTCTTGGCCTCTTCCACCCTCCCCCAGCGCCGCAGACGGCGCGTTTCTCGCCGGTCTCCCACCTCGAAGTAGACCAAGTCCTCGCGCCAGCGTTGTGGATCCTCCCGGAGCCAAAAGTACAAGGTGTCGAAGCCTCGCAGCGACGCGACGCGGTGGCCGGACACCGGTCGGAGAAGGTGGAAGAAGAAGGTCCAAGACATGGTTTTTCAACGCGGGTCGCGCGGAAGAAGGAGGTTTTCTAAACAGCTGAGGCCATGGGAAGGAGATGAACATGGGATGCCACATGAAAGACATTGAGCATGGCAAGGTGAAAAAGGTGCCATTATGAGGTGAAGTAATGTTTTACTATGCAGCTGTAGCTATACGTCACCCTCGGCTGTATGAGTTGGATATTTCAAGGATGTAGCTATGTCGATTTACTTTTAGAGACCCCTAGACTTAGACCCCATGGATGAGACAGCTGTCCACCTGTTTCAGTGTGTCCCCTCCAAGTTCCATCGAAGCGGAGTCGGACCCTCTTGGAGTCGAAGGAGTCAGGACTGTAGTCTCAAGCGGTTCGCATCAGCGGTCTCCAAACCATATACTAGATGGCAAAGACCCCGAGCTTGCTTTAGATGGAGGTCCATAAACCAACCTTTGGGGATTGGTGCCATCTACTCTCAACCCACTTAGCTTCATAGACTGAAACCGTGCGCCTCAAACGAAGGAGACCCCTCCATCCACTGGGGTCGTGACAGGTGGTATTTTTTGCAATGTTTGGACCCGACTGGCTCTCGAGCCGCCGCAGATCCCTGGAACATGCAGGTGAACCTTAGTTCTGTGCTGAGTGGGTTGTATAACCACCTCCCCCTGCACACAAAAAGCTTAAAGGTTATCAACTGTTCTTGGGTATGGTGAAGACCCCATATCAAAGACTTGTGGGAGTTTGTACCATCTGCCCGGTCTACTCTGAAACCACTGTATTTGGAAAAAATCATCTGACGAGGTGACCTGATCGAAAGAACTTCCTTTCCCTCAGAAATCCATGGGATTGGAATCTATCTTGCCGATCAGTAGGGGTGATCTCGCATGATTGCACGATGTTTTCAGGGTCAAGTTATACAGTAAATAGACTCCCAAAGAGATAGACAAGTAGTTTCTCCCCACTCAGAATGTATGGAAAACTGTGCCACTATCTATTTGCGGATCACTAGGTCAGCCAATCTTCCAGTCCAATGGCTGGTCCGGGTTGACTTCAGCAGGACCTTTAGAACACTCGGGGGGACCTCTGAAACAGCTGCTGAGCACGGGTCGTCGCGCCTGCACCCAGGTTGACCACCTGCACTCCACCTGGCACGCTGAACTCGGACAAGTCCCGGTTAGGAGTTCAACACCGAATCACGTTAAGGCAAGGTCAAGGTGTCTGAAGCTCCATTCCCTAAGGGGTACAAGGACATCCGATTCGGTTTGGGAGGTTGGGTCATGATGTGGTTGGAGCAATTGTGGAAAACATCGTTTCAGCGCACAAAGCCGACGTTCCGTTGAAGGCGCACAAAGCCGATGGACAACATTTCAGCCTGGGAATGAGATGTTTTTGGCTTATCACAGCTTTACAGCTTCTTTCTGAATCTATCTCCGAGTGCTCACAACTTCTCGATCTCTGCACCACCCCCTTGCTCGCTCTCCAGGTCTCCAATGAACAAAAACAACCAAACTCATTGGCTGGCTCCCATGCCCCCTCACCCCTCTCCCCCCTTGCCCCCTCTCGGTGTCCCTTTTCGATCTCCATCGGTTCTTCCGCGTTCTTCCGCGCCTGCGGGCGCGCGCTGCAGGAACCGCAGCACGGTGGAGCGGATCGCCTCGACGCGCGACCAGTAGCCGCGGTGGATCAGCGGCGAGGAATGCGTGGAGCGCGAGCGGATCAGCTGGTCGGTGTACGGATCCTCAGGCGTCGATGTTTCCAAAAGAAGAAGGACCAAACACAGGCTGAGCATGGTACGGGGATCTATTGGTACTGAGATATTATTGGTGCAATATTAAGGTGTTTAAGGGATTGAGTGGTGCCTTGTCGGGCATTTGGACCCTCAAAGCCGCCTCGAACACATCACCTTCTCAGAGGGCATGTGGATCTATTTTGGGGCATGTGGATGATGATAAGTGGAACAAACAATTTCTCGGAGCTTTGCCTTGTTGGTAGTCACAGTGGGCAACACAATTCACTGGTAGTAGAGGTTCAACGGCAATGTGTATTGGACACCGTGCCGCTATCTATGCGTTGACGACCAGTCCTGTCCAATGGCTGGTCCGGGTTTACTTCGGCAAAAATCGTGTGTGTCTGTGT